TATACACACATCCACCCTCAGTATTTCCTAACAGAAGTGGCTAAAACGGTAGAACGGGGTCTTCTGTCCCACGGTTCAGCTGGCAGTTAGGCTTAGTGCTCAGATAGTAATCACAGAAACAGTGTCAGCAGGGTGTCCACTTGGAACCTTACCCAGAAGTGACAAAAAAGAAGGGTAAGACAGAAAGGGGACATCTTTGAATTATTGGACCTATTTCTTTCTACCAGTTGTGTTCTTTCCTCAAGCAAGGGAGACACAAATGGACCACCATTCGACATTGTACAAGTGTCATAGCTTGCTTTGCTTCAGTTTTCTATTTGTCAAATGGGGCTTATGGGAGGATTATATGTTTTAAAGCTCTTGGAACAGTGACTGGGACATGGTAAGTCCCCAGGAATGTATGTTAGCTCTTGTTGTGATTTATCAAGTATTAGTATTATGTGCCAAGTCCTGTGGTAGGCATTTTACTGATACTTATTTCAATCCTCACCTGCAGTTCTGCAAAATAGATCTTGTGAGTTTCATCTGAGGAGATGGAGTCTCAGAGAGGTAAAGTCATGTGTCCAAGGTGAGCTGCTGTGCGAAGGTGCCAAAATCAAACCAGGTCGGCCTGGCCACAAAGCCTGTGCCATCGCTGTGCTTAAGAGTAAACAGTGTATGAGCAGACATCCTTCTATGTAAATGGGACGAGAGCCATCAAGCTAAACAGCTCCCTACGCCACACAGTTCAGGGTAATTCATATCCACTGAGTAAACAGACCGTTCTGGGCAAGAATTCCCTTGTGTCAACTTGCCTGTTCCAGGAATTCTCAGTATATATATTGGAGCCCTACCAAAAATTCATCACGAGACTTGTCTTTCTTGAGATCCATCTGAAGAGGCTTAGCTAATAAACTGAAGGACCTTCTTATGAGGTGGTTTCACTGTGGGGCTGTCCCTTGTTATCTCCCGAAGGATGACTCCTTTGAGTGAGTCTGATACACTTCATGGTCCCCATGTCTCCAAGAGTTGGGGAGCATAGCTAGCCCACCTTGTAGGCTGACTGCCATGAAACCCCATCTTGTTCATTCCCTGCCCTGGGTTAGTTGTCCTTCCTGTGTTCTCACAGCACCCTGTGCCTGCATCTGTTAGAGCGCCTTGTCACATTGCCTTTGCCCACGTCTTTGCATCTTTTCCCACCAGATCAGGTACAGAATGCTATATCCTACTCACCTCACAGCCCCAGAATTTATCATACTTCCTGTAACAACAATAATAACCGCAGTGTTATCAAAGTTGACATTCATTGGGAACTTACTATATGCCTTTTGAAATAGGTACTATTGTGATGCTTACTTTAAAGGCAAAGAAGCTGAAGCACAAAGAGATTTGTTTACTACCCTAGTCACAGAACCATAAGTGGAAGAGCTGGGTGTGAACCCAGGCAGTTTGATTCTAGACCCATGCTTTTAACCAGTACTCTGATGCCTCTGTGTAGTAGATGCTTCATTAGTTAATATTTGTAAATGGATACACATGTGAATGTAATTGCTATGTTTTCAGAGATATATGACCTGTGACATAACTTATATCTGTGCAATAGTAAGCTATGTTGTAATGGAGCTCTTCTATCCCTATGCGTGCTTGGAGAGGAGGAGCAGTACAGGGCCGTGTTTGTGAACACACATTAGATATAAATGCAACTTCTATTTCTGCCATTGATGATCATCACCTCTATGGGCAAGTTACTTACCCTTTTTTTAGTGGCATTTTCCTCAGCTGGAAAATAAGAATTATGTTGCCCACCTCCTACAGAAAACTTAGAATAAAGAGACTACTATAATTAACCATTCCTGAAACACAGTACTTACTCAACAAACATGGGAAGATATTGTTATTACTATTGTCATGAACATTGTTTTTAAAACTTTATAATTGACAACACTACTGCCTATCAGTGGACAAGGAGTTCTTAACCAGTATGAGTGATACTAAGTGATGATGCTGGAGCTTTAAGTCTAAAGTCACCAAATTCAGGACAGAGATGTTTGACCCATGAATTTCAGAGGTCTGCAAAACACTCCAGAAACGAATGTAGCTTTTGTCCAATCTCCACATGTTTGTCTGTAGTGTACACTGTGGGGTTTAGGGAGCCTGGGCAGAGGAAGGAACCAGAGGTATCCATGGTCAGTACCAGCCATCTGGTGTGTAGCGGCTTGTAAGTGAGCAGTGGGCTTGAAGGTCGAGTGGACAACTGTATAACAAAGGCTGTTAGGAGATCACGAGGATACTGAATACCTAACAGCTAACAGGAGCTATGATTTATTGTTCTGTGGACACTGAACTTGGCACATAATAAAGACTCATTCATTCATTCAACAATATTTTTGAGCCAGGCGCTCTTATTGGCCCAGGGAATCAATAATAACTAAAACAAAGTCCTGAGTACTCAGGTCCCTTTATACTTTATAAGCATCATCATAATAACACTGTGATGTAGATGATACCATTGCCATTTGATAGATGAGGGAGCTGAGGCACAGAGAGGTTAAATACCTCACCTGAGGCCTCATAATTATAAAGTAGTGAGCCTAGGATTTGAATCCAGGTCTTTCTCATGCTAAAATCCTTTCTTTAGCTACAATATGATACTGCTTATCAAGCAAATAGCAAACGCTGAGATCATGTATGTATGTGGCAGGGGGGTGTTGGAGGGGTGGGATGTTTGTTGACTCAGGACTATCTAAATAGCTATCATTGTGATATAACAATAAATAATAGTCATCACTGATCTACAGAACATGAGAAACTTTGGTTGTAGCTTCTATTCTTGAGCTCAGACTTTCATTTTACTGCTTCTTGTCAACATCAGTGTATACTTGGTGGCCCTCAACAAAGAGAAGAATGTTTATGCTTAGGTTGATAACCAGGTAGAAGCTCTGAGATCCTGAGGTTCATTTCCAGGATGCCTGCTTAGTAATGCCTGAGTGCCCTCCAGAGCTTGGACAAGGCCAGCAGGCACTATGACCATTGAGATGTTGTCCAAACCTAGGATTAGGTGGTCAAATATCAGTGACTTTGCACAGAGTGAGGTGCTTTGGTCCCTTCAGGGCTGTGGATGGGGGTGGGTAGCACTAGTGGGCTGCCACCGACCCCTTTGTTTAGGTCTCTCACATGCCTGTTTTCCACGGATTGGGAAGGAAGTTTCAGAGGCACCATTTCAAATGCCACAGAAAGGGAGAAGGGGCAGTGCAGAGGGTCACTGCAGTGGGGCATAAAGAACCCAGAAATAATGCTGTGCTCTGAGTCGGGATCTTGGTGGCCTCATCTTGTTTTCAGGGGATGCCGTTGCTTCTAGGAAGCACAGCCACCGCTTAGCTTTACAAGTCAGCTCCTTCAGTCTGTCGATTCAGAAGCTGTTCCATTGCCCCCTGATTCCATTGACATAATTCGACGATGCAAGGGTTGTGCAGTCAAGAAGGAAGGACATTGTACTGGGACATCAGGAAAACCAGATTCTGGCCCTGGCTCTGTCCCCACTGGCTGGGAGACCCTGGACAAGTGCCTTTGCTCCTCAGGGCTTTCCTCTTCTCAGCAATGAAGCAAAAGAGGGAGAACTGGATGTTGATGTTTCCTGTGATCCTTTCTGGCTCTAAAGTTGTGAGTTTATCTGATATTTGCAGCCTTATAGTGTCATTTTAATTTCCATGCTCTATATTTAAAACCACATTTTTCTGCCCTGTTAGTGTGCTGCATTCTTTCTATTGCTTCAGAACACATAGTGTTGGTCCTTAATGTCTGATAACTATTTGTTAAATTAACGAATGCATATAGGCGGAAATGTGAATGCATGCAAACACTGTTAACCACTGGTGTCACTTCCAGACTTGGGTTCTTTATGGTTCAGTGTGGGTTGCTAGGAGGATTGAGATAGCCAGTATGGAACATTGCAATGGTGTGGGCACACAGAAATCCATTTCTAACTACTATTGTTGCTGCTACTATTGTAATTCTATGCCTCATTTTCTATAAATACGGAATAGTATGCATACGGTTTTGTAACTACCTGTTTTCAATAAGGAGACTTTTTTTCATGTCAGTGGTATTCTCTTATTTAATTTTAATGGCTGCATCCTATCAGAGAGTTTCTAGAAGTTTATTTGGCCAATCTCTTATGTATTGTTTGTTCAAGTTTTTCCATATTATAAGCAACGTATCTAAATAGTCTTATTTTTAAAAAACAACATATTGCTTTTGCAACATGAAAAGTATTTTCAATAAGAAATGCTCATCCCATGACACTATCGACTGCCTGCTTAAGCTAAAACAGTAGAGAAGTCTGTATAGGATGATGAGTAACTAAGAGCACACCAGCCTTGGCTTCCTACATGCAAAGAGAGGCAGTGATCGCCATCATTACATTATCATTGAATGAGAGAAAGCAGTTTTCCTAAATTTAAAGCCTTGTCCCTTTCCCCTTTTCAGCAGGAAAAGGATAAATTGTGGGGCCAGGTCATATGGGAAGAGGATCTACCCGGAGATTGGAGGCCTGAGCTTGATGCTCCCCTCTGCTGTCTAACCTCAGGCAAAGAGCTTACCTCTCTGGACTTGGTTTATTTTTCTGTGAATGAGAATGTTAATATTATTATTAATATTACCCACTCTTTCATCACAGGTTTGGAAAATGGAAGCAGGGAAGGTTGTAAGCATAAAATGTAATCGTAGATACAAGATTAATTTGAAGTATGAAAGTCAGTGTTGTAGAGAAGTGAGTTATCAAGAATATGGGGTCACTGGTTCTTTGTGTACTGTTCACAATGTGGCCTGGAATGTATCTAGCGGTTTTTGAGAAAACCGTTACCTTCCATACCACCACTGTTAAAAGGGAGCAGAAACAGCAATTCAGTCCTCCGCTATTTGCATGCTTTTTATTTTTAATCCTTGCCAGATGTAGACTGGCCATGAGCCCAGAGGGTGAGCAATTTCTGATAGAGGTAGTTTTGTTCTTGTTTCCCTTCTAGACAAAGAATTCTTAAAGGAAAAGGAGAAATTAGAAATGGAGTTAGCAGCAGTGCGGACTGCAAGTGAGGACCATCGGAGACACATTGAGATCCTGGACCAGGCTTTGAGCAATGCCCAGGCCAGGGTCATCAAGCTGGAAGAGGAGGTGAGACCAGGCTGTGGGGATTTGGTGGGGAAGAGGGGAAGCAGAGCCCAGAGGGCTTCCACTTTCTTTTCCTAACCCAACTACCTTAACCAGAGCCAATTCCAAGGAGTTGAGACAGGGGAGGAATATGGGAAACTTCTCAAATAAAAGTGAATAAAAACAGAATCTATGCATTCTAAAGCCAGGCAAAGTCTGAAAAGCACAGGGGAATCCCATCAGCAAAGCACTCACACTCGGTGTGAAGCCCAGCCTACAGCCCATCGGTTGACATGTGTCCTACCAGGCGTCATGCATTGCATTTAGTAGTTTCTGATGAAATCAACCCTTTAGCTTAAGCATTATGAGGTAGCCTTTTCCTCAACCTGACTGAGGAATTAAAATGACCATTTCTGAGGTCCAAGCTAAGGAATCCAGGCTATAGATGAAGAAGAAGAAAAGCAGCAGAGGCCTAGCCAGGCAGCCAGGGGCCTGCTGCCCTGCACCTTCCAGCGTCCTGCGGTGGTGGCGGCAGGTGCCTCTGTGTTACACAGGCTTACCTGAGCAGGCTTACTGAGCACTTACAAAAGTGCTTAGCTTGTTGCTGGGCACAGAGGAAACAGTATTGTTACTAACCCAACTGTTGTTGAATTAAAAAAACTGTCTCTTCAGAAAACCTCCCCCGATGCTAAGTAACAGGAATGTTTCATCAGATTTCAAACAGAAGGATAAAGCAGCTGAAGAGGAAGATGATGGAGTAAACGAGGGTCTTGCCCATTGGAAGCCTTTAAAACCCCATAAGTCTTGCATAGAAACTACCATTTTAATACTAGCATAAGGATCCGGGGCAGCAGCCCCCATGGTATCTTCCATGTTGCCACTAAGGAACATATCAAATATGAAAACACTTGCCACAGAAAGTGACCTCAACCCCTTAAAGACAGGAGATCTATTATGCTTAAGGGAGGCTGGGGCTTCTCATTATTGTCATTACTGAAATGACATCTCCATCTCCATGAGTGGAGCTAAGGAAAATGGTGGTTTTTAAAATCTTTTAGTTTAAATGTTTCTATTAAAGTAAGAGTCCGTTGTGAGCTTCTTGAAGACAAGTTATAACAACCAATATGGGTCTTTTTTTATCATTATATTTCTGTGAAATCTTTAGTTGGTTGAATGTAACCTCTCCAGAATGTCTCATAGGTCTACTTCCAGCATCACTCCTTTCTAATTAGGGTTTCCTTTAATGGTCTTCATTCAGTTCAGATACTGAGAGCCTACTGTAATTTACCATGATGGGTAAGAGTGAACTCTAGAGCAGACAGCTGTAAACGAGAGTCCTGGCTGTATGGCCTGTCAGCTGTGTGACCTTAAGCAAGTCATATAACCTTGAAGACTTTTCTCATCTCTAATGAAGATAATAAAGGACTTTACCTCCTCTTCCTGTTATTATTTGGAGGATTAAATGAGATACTACATATAAAGCACAGTGCTTGGCATGGTAGTGTTCCGACAGTGTTGACTGATGTAATTACTGTTATTAATCATCCTCATCAGGATATATGCCTTGCCAGAATTAAGGTTGATACAAAGGTGAAGGAGACAGATTCCTGCCTTCAAACTTCTTGCAATTGCTTAAGGATAATATTTATTCATTTAGCAAATACTTACTGGGTGCCTACTAAATGCTGAGCGCTATTCCAGGCATTGGGTACGCCCTGTTCACTCTGCCCAGCGGGGACCGAAATAGGCAAATCTCTTGGTGCTTATAGTCTAGTGGCTACACATTCAGAGAAGTATATTCAGTGGAAGTTATGGTAAGTGGTGTATGAATCACACACACAAAATATTTTGTCAGATTAGGCTGCAGGAACCTTCACTTAGTAGGTCTTCAGAAGCCAGGGGAATTGAGCAATCAAAATCACAAGGAATGAAAGGGCCAGATAAAAATCGATCCTAAGAACAGATGTAAAAAGTCTGTAAAGTTGCTGTCTCCTCTTTGAAAGGTGAAAGCATCTCCATTTTATTCTAGTGACTTCAGCTAGGACAGGATATAGGTATAACTCACAGCGGTGCTGCCTGCTGAGTCAGAAAGCTCACCTAGCAGCTAAACCACTAGCGTGTTCCAACTTGCCAGTGTCATCATTGAACTCAAGATCGAATACACCCAGGTGCAGAATGACAGGAAATAGCATCCGGTGTCTTCTCACCCAGGACCAAATCAAGTTGATGCCTAAGCCTGATTTTTGGCACTAGCCAGTTCTCAGAATGCTGTCAGTATGCCCAGGATTTATGAACATGGGCCAAACTCCTAATTGGAAGAAAACAAAGTATGAAAGTGAGAGTTGGAAGTCGTTGGTCATAATTCTAAATCCATACCTGATGTGACATTTCCATAAATTATTTTAACCTTAATTTCCATCTCCTCAGTTATTGTGTTGTTGAATATTCACTATGCACTTCCCATCTCTTCAGGGCTGCCAACTAATCTATAAAGGACTCTGAAATCTTTAGGACAAAGTTACTCCATAGATGTCTATAATAAGATTTTTTTTTTATTCACACATACATAAATGGGTACACATACATATATACATACATCCCTAATTTCTCTATTATAAATGTAATTTGTGCTTATTATAGAAAACTCAAAAAAATATAGAAAAGAATAAAGAAGTAATTGCCATTCTGTCATATAGATAAGCATGCTTAATGCTCTAAGTATTTCATTCCTGCCTTTTTTTCATGGCTAGATAGACATCATTATGATAATGTTGTATATAATTTTTGATTCCGGATTTTCCACTTGACATTGTAGAATAAGCATTTCTTCATGATATCCAAAACTCTTTTTTTAATTCTATTTATTTTATGTTATTTTTAATTTTACTTTAAGTTCCGGAATACAAGTGCAGAACGTGTAGATTTGTTACATAGGTATATATGTGCCATGGTGGTTTGCTGCACCTATCAACCCATCATCCAGGTTGTAAGCCTCACATGCATTAGCTATTTGTCCTAATCCTCTCCCTCCCCTCACCCCTACCCCTCAACTTGCCCCGGTGTGTTTTGTTACCTCCCTGTGCCTATGTGTTCTCATTGTTCAGCTTCCACTTAACAAGGGAGAACATGTGATGTTTTATTTTCTGTTCCTGTGTTAGTTTGCTGAGAATGATGGCTTCCACCTTCATCCATGTCCCTGCAAAGGACATGATCTCATTCCTTTTTATGGCTGCATAGTATTCCATGGTGTTTATGTGCCACATTTTCTTCATCCAGTCTATCATTGATGGGCATTTGGGTTGCTTCCATGTCTTTACTATTGTAAATAGTGCTGCAATAAACATACGTGCAAAAACTCTTTATTTACTTCACTTCCAGTGCCTGAAAATGCAGCAATTATTAAGCAATAAACAAGTATTGCGCTCAAAGCTGCACAAATTACCAAAAGCAGGTACCCCAGTAGGGTCTTCAATTTCATACATCCTAGCCATTGTAGGTATAACTGGCAGCCTATGTGTAAATCTTTTCTGTTCCAGTGCACTTGAAGGGTAGGAGTAGAGAGGTGGGAGGTACCTGCACCTGTAGTTTTGTTTTGTTTTGTTATGTTTTTTTGAGACGGAGTCTCGCTCTGTCGCCCGGGCTGGAGTGCAGTGGCCGGATCTCAGCTCACTGCAAGCTCTGCCTCCCGGGTTTACGCCATTCTCCTGCCTCAGCCTCCCGAGTAGCTGGGACTATAGGCGCCCGCCACCTCGCCCAGCTAGTTTTTTTGTATTCTTTAGTAGAGACGGGGTTTCAGCGTGTTAGCCAGGATGGTCTCGATCTCCTGACCTCGTGATCCGCCCGTCTCAGCCTCCCAAAGTGCTGGGATTACAGGCTTGAGCCACCGCGCCCGGCCAACCTGTAGTTTAAATAGGATTTCCAGGTAATCTGACCCTACCTCCTCCACCCCAGCTTTGAGAATCAGTGGTCTAAATTCTGTGCTTTTTTACTCTTCTCCACTCAGTTACGAGAGAAGCAAGCATATGTTGAGAAAGTCGAGAAGTTGCAGCAGGCCCTGACCCAGCTGCAGTCTGCATGTGAGAAGCGAGAGCAGATGGAGCGGAGACTGCGGACTTGGCTGGAGAGAGAGCTGGACGCGCTGAGAACCCAGCAGGTAAGGAACTGGGCATAGACTGGTGAAAGAATTAGATATATTCACTCAGCAAATGTATGGAACATCTCCCATGGACCAGATGCTGCACCTTGCTCCCAGGATTCAGAGGGAAACAGGAACTCCCTGTCCTCAGTGAACCCATACAACGACCAGGAGAGAAGGCGAGCAGTCCACTTACTGGAGTGACAGATGTCCTCACAGAGAGAAAGTGGTCACCAGCTTGGGGCTAGGGAGAGGGGAATGCAGCATTAGATGACTTCAGAGAGGAGGACATTTGAGCTGGACATTGAAAGATGAGTTTGTTGGATATTTGAGGGCAAGAACATCATAGGTAGAGGGAGAATATGGTAAAGGACAGGGCCATGAAACAACATGGCAGGTCCAGGGCAGCAGGGTGCAGGCAGCTAGGGGAGAATGCCCAGTGCAGTGGCTGGTGAGGAGACTAAGGCTACTTGTGGAGGGCATTTGGTCAAGCTGAGAGACTGGGCTTTTTTCCTATAGTCAACAGAGTACCAACAACTGGGAGGTTTTTAAGCTGCAGAGAAATATGGTGCAAGAGATCCGGGAGAGAGCCCTCTGATGTCAGAGGACCATCCAGAGGGTGGATGTTAAAGTCACAGAGGCCAGCCTGAAGGTTGTCGGTGCAGCCTAGGGTGTAGTGACAGTGAGAACTCGTGGAGGAGTTGAAGGGAAGAGCCAATAAGAGGTGACATTAGTAGCACATGATGATCAGTGAGTTTTCAGAGGTAAAGGAGAGGAAGGGATGTAGGACCATCCCTAGAAAATAATATTGGCCATAAGCTCCTATTCCTGCTGCCTGTCCTTCTCTGTAACTCAGCTGTGAGTTAGCACAGAATGAAAAGCCCAGCCTGGAGTTCACCTGCACCACAGCAAGCAGGAAGAAGACTGGTCAAAGCTCCTGGCCCCAGACAAGCCTGTCCACCATCACCCAGCATGATGAGCAGAGGCCTTTATGCAGCTGGTGAAGGGTGTGCTCTAAATTGGGATACCAGGGAAATGCAAGGCAGGGCCCCATGGAATTATCTACTGGATAGGGCATAGTGGTTGTGGTTAAAACACTTGAAAACACTTGAGCGCATGCACTCAGGCCAGCTCAGCCCTCTCGCAGGGCAGGCCCGTACAGTTCCCTCTGGATGTGTGCATTTGGCTGGAGAAGGAGGTGTTAGTGAGATTGCCCAGAAAACTAAGAAACCCACCTCCGCCTCCCACTGTCTTAGCTTGGTGGATAGCTCATAAGAAAAGGCGGGTCTGTCTGTGGACTTCTAATACTGACAAACTGTGCCACATACTTTGGCACAGAGTTACACCCTTCAGCTGTTCTCTGTTGCTCGGTTGCTGAGATCTTCGCTTCCCCAACTGAGGACAGGGGTTCTCCCTGGTTCCAGGTATGGCACTGGCCCACAATAGATACTGATGAATCTTTCTTTGGCTGACCAAATGGGCACATCTTGGTTCTTAGAGCACAAAAAGAATGTTCCTTCCCGGTTAATATGCTGTCCACACCCTACAGTTAGATTACTTCTCCTTGGCTCTTCTGCATGCTGTGAAACCAGACTTACCTCCGTCATCCTTGTTGTTTATCAAGAAGAAACATAATGTTAGAATTATTGAAAAGTATCTTAATTGCCACAGAGGATAGTTGGCTGTATGCACACTCAGACCCATGCACGCTCACCCACACGGTTTCCTCAGGCAGGCAAAAACAACATTCCTGCTGTGCATGAAGGCTGCTGACAGGCTGAGGAGCACCAGTGGGGGACAGAAATTTCAGAATTGAAGCTCTCTTGGGAAATTACTCTGCTTTCATTTTGAATGTGTGTTCGGGAGCTGATGGCAGACCCCCAGCTGTGTATGGCTGACATGAGACCAAAGAGGAGGAGACAGTCTCTAAACAGAACTGTGATGCTCAGCATCTCTTTAAAAATAACATTACAGTTTGTTGTTGTTGTTGTTGTTGTTGTTGTTGTTGTTTTAATGAGAGCATTAATCTGCCTCCTATGATATGAAATACATTCAGGGATTATTTCCCTGTTGCTCTTGATACTCATTAAAAAGATAAGTAGAGGTTGAGTATCCCTAATCTGAATTGCTTGGGACCTGAAGTGTTTTGGGTTTTGTATTTTCAGGTTCGGGATGCTCAGCCTTCTTATTTTTTTTCCTGTAATGCTTCTTTATTTTCTGATTTTCACAGTAAGCATACATGATCTTATAACCGAAAAAAGGTTAAAACGTTGTTACAAAAAAATCAACTGGAAACATCTTGAGGTTTTTACTAGTTCCATGTGGCAGATACTGTAAAAAGGGCAAAGTGTGTCTAAACTCATTTTGAGGGACTGTGGGCTGGTCTGGGGGGCAGCTCTGCTGTCACCAGGGATGACTCGGAGTCTACTTGAGAACATGGGGTCATGTGAGGAACTCAGCCTGTCCGGGAAAAGGGATCCAGGGCCTCTCTGATCCCCTCCTCCTCACTCACCCTCACGCAACTCATGAACGTGCCTGCCAGTTCTTGGGCAGCAGCCTCAGGCAACCTCGAGAAAGACTTCCGCCATCCACGCCACACCCTGTTCCTTCATCCCTGTGTCCAAGGCAGTTATCTGACAGCTTTAGAAAGCATGCTGGGGTCCCACTGTCACAAAGCTCCTGGTCATCTCCACCCTCAACAGAACAATAGACCAACCGCATGGACTCACCACTTCCCATTGGGCATGATTCTGAAGAGACTTTTGAGAGTGCGGCTTAGAGTTCTTGTTGATTCAACAGCCCAGACAAGGGCTCTGCCCTTTGACTTATGCCGGGACACAGCTGAACCGGTCTACTTGGCCCCCTCTAACAACACAGAGCCCTCGAGTCAGCTCCAATTATTTCTTCTGGACCTTTCCAGAAGGGCTGGTACACTGAGGATGAGCAGAGAGGCATGGAATCGTGTGTTGATTCCGAGCATGGGCCCCAGGGTTAAACCAGCCACAGTTGAATCCTGCCTCCCACCAGAAAAGTAGCCTAGAGTAAGTCATCTTTCTGAACCTTAACTTCCTTATCTATAAAGTGAGGCAAATAAATTATACTTACCTCACACTTGTAACTACAAATAAAATCTGAACAAAGTGCTTATTGGAATGCCTTGCACTTAGCAATTGATTAAAAGCAAATCACTCTCACTGCTGTTTTTTCATTGCCATCATTACCTTCAGAGTCATTTGAAGTTTTAGGGCATTCGTTGGTACCCTCTCGCAAATTCCGCCATTACCCCAGATTTTCCAGCCTCATTGAGAACAAAGTCAACAGAAGTGTGGCTTACTGAAGGGGGATGGAGAGAGAAAGATAGGTTGGGACAATAGGACTAGCAGAAAGAAAAGCTCTTAATCAACAGTTCCTGTTTTATAAGCAGTTGCCCCTCTACCATGGGAGGTCAAATAGTGCTTCAGCATCATTAGAAACTGGGAGGGAAGTGAAAGAGAAAAAAGATAAAAGAGAGAGGGGAATTTACATTTTTAAGAACTCACAATTTTATCTCTTTTACAAAGAGCTCAAATTAATTTTCACATCTTACTTCCACAGTAGTCCTATGAGAAAGAAGAGAGAAGGTTCTTGAAGAATGTTCTTTAAAAGGGAAATGAGGCACAGGGAAGTTAAAGGGACCAGCCCAAGGTCATGTAGCTAACGAGGACATTCTTCCCACGTGAACACATTGAGGGCGAAGACTTAATCTGTAGTGTTCACTGTTGCATCCCTGGCGCATGGTACATGCTCAGTCAATACTTGCCGTCTAGCTGACTGAATGGGCGGCAGAAGCTGGCCCACCTGACCATCAATCTGTTTTTCTCGGTAGCACATTTACCCATTAGACCATGCTAGCTCTGTACCCTTGAATGTTGACATTCATGCATTTATGTAAATAACTCTTAATGACATCAATTAGGGGGGGCTATGAAGAGTTGTCATGATCTCATGTGAGGTTAAGAGGATTCTGCAAAAATAAGCCAGCTGAGATGGTAACAGAAGGGATTTAGATAGAAACTGACAAGCATAGATGGCAGCTTAGTGAGGCCATGGGAGATTTTTCTTGGAAAGTTTCTAAAAATAAGGGAGTGTCTCATCTCGCTGGACTGGTTCATTTGTTCTCCTGCCTGAGGCTAGGTGCCTAGCCAGATGGAGTCAGTGCCCTTCCTGCACAGGTCAGGTGAGGATAGGTGTGCCCTTCTGCTGTGTTCCTACTTAAAATGTTGGTCACTGGCAAGGTACTACTTCCTAGAGTAATTTATATTTGTAGCTTTAAAAAAAATCAAATAAAAACAAAATTTGGTTTACAAAAAATCCATAGACCCATTTCTTTTTTCCTCTCTGATACGATTAGATTCCATCAGTACAGCTCGACTGCCCAGCTGTTGCTCTGGGTAATTCCCCAGTCGTTTTCTTAATCTAGGGGATTATGTGGCTCTGGGTAAAGCATTCACATGCCTCTCATCTTGCACCCAGCTCTGCGTTTAAAATTTGCAATCACTGGAAAACATGAGGAGAATGTGTACCCCAGGATATAGACTAGCTGGGATGAAATCATTCTCCCTGGAGTACTAGGGAGCCTGGTCCGCACTCTGACTGGGCCCCTAACCCTGAGACCCCGAGATGACCTCTCTCTGCTGCTGCTCTGAAGGCAGCACTTTCTCAGAACGCCAACTTCTTCTGTGTCGTGCTCTTTAGAGGAAATAGCGTACCTAATTAAAGGAAAAAGATTCTGAAGTATGAACATCCTCAGTTTGTAAGCAATCCAGAAAATGGCTTTATTTTCTCTTATTGACACAGATGAAAAGAAAAGACTGAAAAATGAGCTTGCCTTATGCTAGAGGTCTTCTGCTTTCATATGCATTATCTAGTTTGATTCTCATTCTCAGGCCTCTGAGTGGGGCAGGTATGAATACCTCCTTTCCCAGCATTGCAGTTAGGCAGCATGCAAGTTAGGGCATCTCCCACTTCCTTTGCCTTCCATTTCCCCCGCCAGCCTCAGGGGAAACAAACAGCTGGAATCACTCTGTGGAATTCTGGAGAAAGTACCCTAGACCAGGAGGCCAAGACTTAATTCCTATTCTTGCTTTTGGTGTAATTAACTGCATGCCATTTGACAAGCCACTTCTTGTCATGCAGAGGCCTTGACCTGCAGAGATAGACCCAGGTTTGAATCCTGACCCTACTAGTGATTAGCTGAGGGACATTCCATCATTAATGTAATCCCTCAGAAACTTCATTTCTCATTTGTAAAACTGGGATAATATTGTCTGTTTTGCAGAGCACCATGAGAATTAACTACAATAGAGGAATCTGGAGGTGAAGTAGCATGGTGTGTGAATTGCTGCAGGATCTGGGGCACTTCATCTGTTCTGTATGGGCAGTTGTGTAGACAGCATTCATGTGGTTTTGAGCATCAAGATGTTTTTTTCTACTCCTTCAGAAACATGGAAATGGCCAGCCAGCCAACGTGCCGGAATACAATGCCCCAGCCCTCCTAGAACTTGTGCGGGAGAAGGAGGAACGGATCCTGGCCCTGGAGGCCGACATGACGAAGTGGGAGCAGAAGTACCTGGAGGAGAGCACCATCCGACACTTCGCTATGAATGCTGCGGCCACCGCAGCAGCTGAGAGGTGAGACCAGTGGAACTCTGGTGGTCGTAAAAGCAATCAAAGCAAAACAAACAGGCTATCCAGAGAGGTCCAAGACCCATCCTAGGGAGTGAGGTCAGCTAAAAATTATTTTTAAGTGGTTATAGTGCTAGTTGGAGAGCAAAGTGGTATAACATTTCTAGAGGGTAATTTGGCAATATATATTTTCCCTTTGAGTCCACAATTCTAGTTCTAGACATTTATCTTTTAAAAATCATATAAGTGCCTGAAGATGGATGTCTAAAGAGTTAATCTCAGTGTTGTTGAAAATATCAATACATTTAACACAGCCTAGATTTCAACAAGAGGAGGTTCATTTAATAATTTAAAGTACATCACACAGTGGAATACTGTGCAATCACCAAGAATGATGTTGTGAAAGTATATTTAAGGCACTTTTTAATGCTGGATTTATATCATGGGCCAAACTAGAAGAATAGATAATCCTCATAGCAGCCCTGAGAGCAGGTATATTATTATCATCTTTATTTTACAAGCAAAGAAAATGAGGCTTAGAGAGGTACAGTGGTTGACTCCTAATCACACTGGTAGTGGGTGGTGGGCCGTGTGTCAAATGGAGATCTGCCTGGCTTGAAAACTGATTTTATATAGTTTGAAATTCTTTTCTGCTACTGTCAGTTTTTACCTCAGTTGCCTTACTTCTTTTTGTAGGTGCACAACTTATTCTGTCTTTATAAACCAGCTCAAAGTGTGCAGTAATTCACAAAAAAAGCTCCTAAATGTTCTGTTAAAACATACTGTTGTCAGAGTGAGCAAGGCACTCTTCGCCTTTGGCCACTGGATCTCAGTTGCATGCATAGTCGCTGCACACACGTGGGTGGCTGTGCAGGGGACCAATCCAGCCCCTCACTGCCTCCCAGCCAGTTTGCTTTCTGCCCATAAGTTATATTGGGCATTTAACTTAAAGTTGTTTGGAATTCATCAAAATTTAGGGTCATTTATGTGGAAAGGATCCTCAAATTTCAAAGGAGCATCCAGAAAATGGGACTTCTTAATAAATAAGGGCTATGGTGCTATTTGGATGACAGGACGTGAACCGAGAAAGGAGTAAAAGCCACATTGCCTTGGGATGGATTACTATATTTTTAATGACTACGAGAAGGCCTGTTGGGGTGGAGAGGGGATACTCTTGAAGTTAATCACTGGCTGTCAGGCTCATTACTGAAGTAGGGGAGAATCCCCAGTAGTGTGCTCAGATGTTAGCTCCAGGAATTGGAGAAAGCAGTGCCACCATTCGGGCGTTAGTGTCTGCAGTGGGCGCTGCAGCACACTTGCACCGAGAAAGACCTACAGACCCATGTGGAAAATGCCCGTTTGGGAATCATTTTTCTGTGCTTCCACGTTGTTTATGTGTGTCTACACTTTGACGGGAAGCAACCCGCAGTATCTATGAGAGTGAGACTTTGGGAGTAGGGATAGACACTTGAGACGGTGCGGTGAAGCTCCGGGGTACTGAGTTGAGAGCTGGAGGGAAGTTGCAGCCTCCAGTTCAGCCCTTGCAGTATATGGATGGGCACAGGGAAGCCCTTTGAAACATTGGCTGATTTTTACATAACTGAAATGTTGTTTTTTTTTTTCAGCTTTTTGTTTTCTAAGCTAATAACTCAATCTCCTCTCTCATTCCGAGGAAGAGAACAGGTCATCACAAAGTCACAAAGGGACCTGGCCTTCTTAGACATGTGTGGTCTGGTGCACTGCTATGCACAGTTGCCCTGGGAGTTTCCTTCCTCCCTGTGATTGTAATGGAAAGAACGCTGCACAGGGAGGCAGGACATCTGCGCTCAGGGCTTCTCCCTCCCTTCCTGACTGTGCGTGTGTGATCCAGGACAAGCCCTTCTGAGTGTCACTTACATCACATGTGAAATATCAATGATGAGAGCAGGCAACCTGACCACATTGCTCTGGCTGAGAACACTAAAGCCCCAGTAGCAGTGTCAATGTGTGACCTTGGAGAAATGACACAGGGGCTTCCACGTGTCATTGTTGTTTCATCTGTGGGTTTATTGCGTTAGATGTCTGTTTGGGATCCTGGGCCCTGAGAGTATGAATGGGACTAGAAAGTAAAAATCAGGAGTAGGGTAATGAATGGGTCCAAAGCATAAACTCTGTAGTGGGCAGAGGAGGGAGGGTGGGGGGCGAGTAGAAACCACAGACCCAATCACAATCACCCGCTCACAGGATTCTAGGCCCAGCCTTATTCTTATCCTTTGTGCAAGGGGAAATTACTCTTACCCCAGAGAGCAGGAGTTCTGTGGGATTTACCCAGTCCCACTGTTCCCCTTCTCTGCCTTATTTGAAGCCTTGGATGGGTAGAGGGAGCCCCTTTCCATCCCCGTTACCCCGCCTTCTTTGCTTTTACACATATTTATTAAGCATCTAATAATTCTGTGAGCAACTACCCTCCCCATTTCAGACTGCCCCTTCTGGGTGGGGGAATAGGTTCAGAGAACCAATCAGATAGTTAGCCCCAATCTTAATGTTCTTTTCAAAGAAAACCACTGTCATTTCAGTGTTGCTTTTTTCCTTTCAGTAAGAGAAAAAAGGAAAATGAAGCGTTTTTGAGAAAAGTACACATTTTGAGCTCTTATTGACTAGGTGCAGGTGCTAAATGGCCACAGACAAATTGGTAAAAATGACTATTTCCAGCCATTAGTTTTGTCACTTTTCAACTACAGATGCATGCATACTTTATATTTATAAGCAATGATTTTTAAACAAAGAAAATAACTTATGTACACCAACTGGTTTTCCCATCTTTACGCCTCTTGATGCTGTTGGTCAGAATTTTTAGAGAGTCAGCTTATCTTGTATGTGTGCAGAAGGTTTTGAAAATTTTTTTAAATTTCAAAGCAATGTAATATTTCTTTCAGAGTTTTATATGTTTACTGTCTAAGTTGTTTTTATCTAATTGTGTTTGCTATCCTTACTTGGCAATGTAAACATGAATTTTTAGATTCGTTTCCAGCTCCATGTAGAGTCTCCAAAAGTAAATTTGTTGAAAATGTTTCTAGCCACTAATTTCTATATTCATGATTTTGTGCACCATAGTGTGAATTTATAATTTTACAAATATGTTTAAAGCATTTTGTTTGCTTTCTACATCACTTGGCCTTTAGTGTATTTTCAATGACACTTTGCACTTTTCTGAGCCACATTCTCACATATGCCCTCTGGTTTGTTTTTATCTTTACTCATCTTTGCTGAGACCTTATTCTTAAAGACATACGAAACTTGCAGGAGTATAGAGTGATGGTTAGGGGCATGGACTTTGGAGTCATAAATACCTGAGTTAGAATCAATTTTCACTATTCACTAACTGAGTATTCTTGGCAATGTCACCTAACCCTGGTTTCTTCATCTAGAAATTGAGGATAATAATACTTCGTGCACAAGTTGGGAGAACTAAATGAGAGACCATGTGTACCATGCGCTACCCAGTCCCTGTGTGAAGCTGATAGCTGTCATTAAAGGGGCCTCAATTTTTCTGTTTTGGGCTATTCTGTTAAAAAAAAAAAAAAAAAAAAAAAAAGCTTTAAAGTTTTCAGGCCGGTCACGGTGGCTCACATCTGTAATCCCAGCACTCTGGTAAGCCAAGGCAGTTGAATCACCTGAGGTCAGGAGTTTGAGACCAGCCTGACCAACATGGTGAAACCCCGTCTCTACTAAAAATACAAAATTAGCCAGATGTGGTGATGCATGTCTGTAATCCCAGCTACTTGGATGACTGAGACAGGAGAATCGCTTGAACTCAGGAGGCGGAGGTTGCAGTGAGCTGAGATCGTGCCACTGCACTCTAGTCTGGGCAACAAGAATAAAACTCCACCTCAAAAAAAAAAAAAAAAAAAAAAGTTTTTCAGTATGATTGCACATTGGAACATGAAGTTAAAAAGATGTGAAATACTTGGCTACATTATGTCTTACTAATTAGGTACTCATGTAGTCAGAGCCATTATTGTGCCTTTCATCTTGAGATATATCACTTAGATGACGCAGTGATCTTATTTTTACTAATCATTGTTAGTTAGCAGCAATTGTCAAAACCAGTGGCAGGAATAGTTATCTGTGACTGGTTGTTTATAGTCAGACAGATGCTTGCAGTGAAACTGCTTCTTAATTTACTTGTGTCTGCCCTTGCCCTCACTGCACCCACCTCACCTGAACTTGTCAAGGACAGTGTCTGCCTTCGTCTTTCTGCCCTGGGCCCTGGGATGCCTGTTACCTTGTCCTGACCTGCATCCCAGGCAGGGCCCATAAAACAAGAAGTGAGACAGAATACAACATGAACGAAGACCTCAGCTTGGAGCCTCACTCTCTGAGAGGACCAGTCTCAGTTTTAAGTATTTACTGAGCCCCCATTTTACTGTAAAATACTGAAGTAGGCATTCTATGCTATATGGGCGATAAACAGAAATAAAACCTAAACTCTGATGGGAAAGGTGAGGCATAGGACAAGCATGAAAAAGTACAACCATGGAAATACCAACAAATATAATAATAATAATAATAATAATAATAGAGTCTATATGTTAGTAGATTAAATCTCTAGGTGCCCGTTTTACATATTCATAACATGCCATGTAGTTAAATACATAATGTAGTCACAGGGCAGAGGGGACTTGATTTTTGAATTTTTTTTGTTTTCCTTAGATACTGCTTAATTCTATCTAGTTTAGGAAGAGAATTGGACAGAATTCAGGAGAGGAAAAGTGGGTGAAGGAATTTGTGGAGTTTTAGCACAGCACCCTGTGGTCACCTCTCCACAAGCATTTACACCTTTCTCTGTATGGGCATCAGATGAGATTGATAACTGAGCTGAGGAAATTGGGAGGGAAGGCCTTCATGGGCCAGTGGGAGATGCAGAGCTGATCTCTGTTCCAGCATGAACACCAGCCTCTCCGTTCTGTGTCTGTTTGCATTGAGACAAAGCAAGAAGGTTTCCCGTGATCAAACACATATCCTTGTGTTGCCAGGGACACCACAATCATCAACCACTCACGGAATGGCAGCTACGGAGAGAGCTCTCTGGAGGCCCACATCTGGCAAGAGGAGGAGGAGGTGGTGCAGGCCAACAGAAGGTGTCAGGACATGGAATACACGTAAGGGACGGCTAGGTGTGGCACGTGGGACCTGCCAGCCCATGTTTGCATTCACACTCCAGGCCTTCCAGAACAGATTGCTTCTCTGTCATGTTCTGAAAGGCTGTGAACATGAGGTCTCCCAAAACTCTCCTCCCCCCTGCCGTGCCATGGAGAGAAGCAAAAGGTTCCACTCAGCAATGGGTCCGGTGCCAGAGTTGTCTGGGGGAAATTGCATGTCACCTGCAGGTTTTAAGATGCAGGCTGAGTCTAGTGACAGAAGAATTTAGATGTCTGTGTTATTTCTTGGTGTCTGTGACATTATGAGCTGAAAAGGGGAAACATTATATTCCAAAGGTTCAGAGTTTTTGAGCCAGAATTTATATATTCCAGTCCAAAATAAAGAACATATTTAGCTAATGCACTCTTCTGATGGGCTATACAAAATTTCCAGCAGACTTTTTGACATGATAAAATTAGCCTGTCCCACTTCACTACCTGAGGGCTTGTGGAACCCTGGGAGCCCTAGGCCTCGTATTTTGCAGATGTGAAAATAGGGCTGAGTAGTTGAGCCATTGATAGACAGGCTCAGTGAGTTACTATCAAAGTTGTGAAAATAACTCAGCATTCTTCCAGAAAAATCGTCTTCTACCAGAGGACCTGTTCATCTTGGTTCTTTTTTCTTAGAAAATAGAGAAATTGACTTTAGTTGAAAGCTCACCCTGTTTGAGGCTTTAGAGTTTTTATGCTTCCCTATCCCCTACCTACCCCCAGCCCCCGCCGCCAATGCTAGACCCTCTAAATATGGTCCCCAGCCCACTTCGGTCCAGGAATGTGGCCAGTCATTCTAACCGTACCTCCCTGAAGTCCCAGTCTCCCAAGGTGCCAGAGAAGGGTGTACTCTTTTGACCTATGACCAAAGACCTGTCTTAACAATTTGGAGATTACCAACATTTGAAGACTCATACTGTGCTTCATCCTCTATCCCTAAATTACAATTAAAGTCCTTGGGACAGCCTGAGATAAATGTTTCAAGTTTTTCTAGCCAAGTGGCTTTTTATGAAGACTGTTTTGTTTTGTTTTACAGTATTAAAAATCTCCATGCCAAAATCATAGAGAAAGATGCTATGATTAAGGTCCTGCAGCAGCGATCTCGTAAAGATGCTGGGAAGACAGACTCCTCCAGCCTACGTCCTGCCCGCTCCGTTCCATCCATAGCAGCAGCTACTGGGACACACTCTCGCCAGACCTCTCTTACCAGCAGCCAGCTGGCCGAGGAAAAGAAGGAAGAGAAGACCTGGAAGGGGAGCATAGGTGGGCCCCACACCTCTGTCAGGCCATGATTGGAAAAGCAAGATCAGACAGCTTCTCTGCCACTCATGGGACATGGAAATGTCCCTGAATAGTTCCTGGTCTCAGTTTACTCATCTGTGAAGTGGGGAGGGAAATCAATCATACTTCAGTTATAGAAATTCAGTGAGATATGTGGAAGCACTGTGTACATTCTAAAGACTGCACCACTGGAGTAGCTCTTAGCCATGGGTTGACTCAGATCATAATTATCTATTATTGTTATAAGTTGAGGTGACCCTTGTAACACAAAAGGCTGTCATGGAAAAGCCTAGAGACCTCACACCTCTGAACTTGGCTGTGCTCTAGACCAGTTGTATGACGGCTCCACCTCTGCTTCCATGTCTAGAAAGGGAGGACAGTGTCTGCCTGCTTTACCCCATGGGGCATGGGAGGGAAGAATGGGATAATGGGGAGAGGACATTGGAAGAAGTGCTGTCTCGCATAAGGTGGGGGTGATAAGTTTTTGCTGTATTGTTGCATGGGCAGAATTTTGAGGAACATTCTCTAAGTGTGGTCTTAGCCAGGAGTAGGTTTCCTGGGGGCAGGTGGGCTTGTTGGCTGGCTGGGTTAGCCAAGCTGGAGGGGAAGCAGGTGGCGTGCCCACACACAGGTCCTCCATACCCTTTCCCTGCACTCTGGCCTCTCCAGGGGTCTGGCCCTTCTTTGATGCATTTCCCCACATCAGATCATGTTTTCGTTTCTCTGTGCAGCTGAGAGCCAGTTGTCCTCAGCATAGGACCCCAGAGGAGATGGGCTGCTCTGGGCCAGAGGGGATAAGAGCTTCCATATGAACCCGAGAGAGTTGGGGGGATCAAAGGCTCCCAGCCAGAATCTCTGTTTGAAGTTCCTCCACTGGTAGCTTCAGCAGCCCCTGCCCCCAAAGGAAATACGCTTCAAAGAAGACATGTGTGTACGGCAGCTGAGATCATCAAAGACTGTCCCAAGGACATTGAGCTCCCAGCCCAGCAAGAGAGCCAGGAGGCAATGCTGAGACAGGCCTGGTCAAGGAGTTTGAAAATTTGCTCAGCTCTGGTAGAAACCTCCCTGGGAGTCCCCTGTTTGTGACATGCAGCCAGGCAGGCATCTCTGGTGTCTGTGCCTGTATCCCCTAGGACGTGGCATGTCTAAACCAGGCCTGGGAGCCGGAGGACTTGTCTAAAGGAAGAGCTGCTGTGTTTCCTGCATTGATATTCCTCCTCGTTGTTGTCATTGGTGTCCACATGTCACAAACACAGGGAGGGACTCTCCCAGGGGCTGAGGCAGGTTCATAAGTGACTGTGCAGTTCCCCACATGTTGTCACCATTGCTTGCCTGATGGGCTCTGGAAGGAGGTGGAGGTGACAGCATATACCTTCCCAATTGCCCAGGGGCTCCCAGGAGCTATAGCTGGCTAGTGACTTACTCAACCTGTCACTCCCTACGAGGACATCCTGCAGACTCTGGAGTTTCCACAGGCTGGGCGATGAAGTGGAAAGAACGTAGGTTGAACTCCAAGTCAGGCACAGCTGGGTTTGAGTCCCATTTCTGCTGCTTCTTAGCTGTGAGATGTTAGTTTTTCTGAGCTTCCATTTCCTTCTCTGTAAGACAGGATAAGGCCTGCCTCGCAGGAAGGACGTGCAGTATGAAGTGAGGTGATGTGGAAAGACAGGTGAAGGCCTTTGCTGCTCAGCATGGTCTGTGGGCCAGTGGCACCATCACCATCGGGGAGCTTCTTAGAAATACAGAATCCCAGGCCCTGCCTGCTGGATCAGGTCTTGCTTTTAACGATATAGCCAAGTCATTGGTATGCACATTGCATTTTGAAAAGCACTGCTCTCGACAAACTGAACTGCCCTGAGTTCTGAATGGGCACCTTAAAACAGCCCAGGCGAGGAGACTTGATGAATTGCTGGCTATCTAACCAGATAAGAGGACAAATACTTGATTGTGCTTACCACATTTTCTATAGGCTAGCGTTCTAGGGTGCTGGCACATTCCTGCAGGTGTGCTGTATTTAAAAATAAAAAGTTATCCTCCCGCCCAGCTTTCCAGGAAGGCTCTGAGGAAAATGGACACCTGTGCACACCACGCCTCCCATTTCCATAGCCAGCGTCTCCTCTTCCCCACCCCAGCCTCACTCCTCTTGGGGAAGGGGGTAAGGAGAGGGCTAAGTGGCCTTTCCTAGGAGGCTGGCTGGCTGGCTTTCTGCTTCTGGGAGGCTACAGTTCCACTGCAGAAATGTGCAGGTAGCATGTTTATCTTTGAACCCAAGCCTGTAGGGGAGCATCCATCCATTACGAGGAGTAGGGTGGAATTGTGAACTATTCAGAAGAGCAGCAAGCCAATGGGAACACGTCTAGGACCGGGGAAGCCTTGTAGCTTTTCTTAAGCACACTGCCATGCTTCAGGCCAGCCCTTCTGGGCCACGCTGGGGACAGCAAGCATGGTCTCTCCAAAGCCTTGCAGGAACCTCCCTATCCCTCCTGCTGGCAATTAGGCACTTCTCTGTTCGTCCATACCACCCTGTGATTAATTGTATCCTACAGTTTATATATTAAATTATAATCAGTTTACTTGACAACTACTTCTCCACTCCAAAAAAAAAAAAAAACCTACAATTTTTTAGGAAGGGGACTAGGTCTTTCATTTTTTATTCTCTCAGTGTTTGGTATTTTATCAGGCTTGTAATAAGTGTTTATTAAATGCTTGGGGAATGAATGAATGAATGAATGAATGAAGCAGTCATCAGTCAACAAGGAACAGACCTCCAAGACTAGATTTTAAAAAAAAAAAAAAAAAGGAAAAAAAAGAATGTCGTTGAAAAATCTGTTCTCTGCCCTCAGGATTGCTGCTGGGGAAGGAGCACCATGAACACGCGTCTGCCCCACTGCCGCCACCCCCACCCAGCTCAGCACTGTCCTCCACAGCCTCCACGACGGCAGCCAGCAGTGCCCACGCCAAGACGGGCAGCAAGGACAGCAGCACACAGACCGACAAGAGCGCCGAGCTCTTCTGGCCCAACATGGCCTCCCTCCCCAGCCGCGGCCGGCTGAGCACGACCCCTGCTCACAGCCCTGTCCTGAAACACCCAGCGGCCAAAGGCACCGCAGAGAAACTGGGTATGTGGGCTACCCCACCTTGATGCCCCTGAAAACTGTGGAACTGTCTGGCCTAAGAGAATCTTTTGTTGAGCTAGAGAGGAAGCAGGAGCACCCATTAGCTCTTACTCTGTGGGGATGTTTATGAGTGTGGCTCTCCTAATGCACTTAGGATATGTATGTGTGCCCTTTCTTATTATGGGAATAAATAGGCATATAGACACATCTGGTTTATTACTATTTGAAATGAGTGCAGAGCTTGAGACTGCCCTGGCAGTGCATGCTTTTTAACTAACCCTTCCCCGGAAGGAGTGACAGCAGACCCTCTGAGGGACTGAATGCCCTCTAGTATGTTTGGGAGCCAGAATTAGGTACCAGGTACATCAAAGGCACAAGTTCACTGTTGCCTTCAGGGCTCTGACTTGCCAGGGATTCTGGCCTCAGTGGAGGACATCGTGATGGAAGGAGAAGGTAGATTGACCTGCAGAGTCGGTTAACTTGTGACACAGCAGTTGGGCCAGGACTAACGAGCTGCTTAAAATATCTAAGGGAAGACAGCTTGGGAGAGGTGAGCTTTGCAGTGAGTCCCGAAGTGTCCTGGGTAAGAATAAACCTGGCCTTGTGCTAATCATGGTCATAGGCACCTCCCTTTTCAGGAATTCTTTTGAGGAGGCGCAGCCTCTGTGGGGCCTAAGTTAACTGTTTCCTCCAAGAGGGTTGTTTATTTTCACTTTTCAAAGTAGACAAGTAAATACAATGTTGTCACTTTTTAAAGATGTAATTCTTTTGCGAGTAAGCCAGAGAACATGTAAAAAGTGCCTGGCTCAGAATATGCGCCTGATGGTTTTGAGTAAAGGGTGTGAGGGGCCCCTGTACAGAGTCCCACTATCATCCTCACCCTCTGAATCCTTTGCCATCACCATCCTGGTTTGTATTTGTGTCTGAATCCTGGCCCAGTCATTCTGTGTGTTCCCGCTGTGGGCTGGATCATCTCACATGCACTGTGGTGGGAATCCTGGGTGTGCAGTGGTATTGGACGTGGGTCCATTTTAGAGAGCCTGGAAAGCCTGTGCCCCTCCTGAGGAATGGGCAGCTGATGTCTCCCCTCTATTTGGCAGAGAACTCTCCTGGCCATGGGAAGTCGCCTGACCACAGAGGCCGGGTCAGCAGCTTGCTGCACAAGCCTGAGTTCCCTGACGGAGAGATGATGGAAGTCCTCATCTAACTGCCATCCCTGTGGAATTTCAGAACGGAGCATTGACAAACAAGGAAAGTGGCAGAGAAAGAAGAAAGACCTAGAAGGTTGTAGTGGGAAATCAGGAATGATTTGAACTGATAAAGATTTCAGACTCATAAGAACACATTTTATAAATGTTAAACACAAAAACAGGAGACCTACATGACTGAAGATAGAAGAGAATGCGATGGATTTTATTACACATAGTGGAAGGGAGAGAGGCGTGTAGGTTTGCAAACAAAGTTAAGAAATAGGAAATTGAATTTTTCGTTGTACAGAAAATGTATCTCTTAGGGAGGGCTTGTGTATCCCCATTCTCTGATTATAAACAGATAAACCCAAATGTGGATCCTCCTTGGAATACCCCCATTCTCCTTGCCTCTTAGCATGTTTGGTTTAAGAAGAGCCTCCAAGAAATCTTGAGAGCCTGTCTTGGCATAATGCAGTGTGACTTGTGCCAACCGTGGGGTGTCCCGTGTGTGTGAGTGTGGCAGTGAGAAGAAGCATGGAGGGCGAGGGGGATATGAAAGCTGGTCTTCACCTAATTACCTGTTTGGTTTGGATTTCCAAGAGATGATTGGGCTTCTTAGCTTTTCTGAATTCTGCAGTATTGTCTAAGCAGGATGGATTATGATCTCAGTCCTCATCCATCCTAACTTCTGAGTTCATCTCTGTCTCTGCTTTATGGTCTTTAATTTTTTGTTGTTCCTTCATTTGTTTTTGTTTTTAATAAGACATAGCAGAATTCCTTAGGTATGGGATTTATGAGAGCAGTACCTGAACTGTCATCATTCCTGCTTGTTTGATAGTGACCAGTAGGACAAAGCCATGTGCCGCTTCCTGGCTGCTTCACCTTTGCATAGCTGGGTTGCAGCTGTGAACCTCATTCTGACTGTGAACTAAGCAAGCTTTGAGGAGGCAGGAGATTCCATGGGTCCCTGTGACATCTTGCATTAAGATCGTGGCACTTGCTTTTTTGTCTCTCACATCGGCTCTCTTGCAAGGAGCTTGACATTTCCAAACTCCATTGCTCTGTTGGGGAAGACTTAGGACAGCACTCCAGGAAACAGATGACAATTTACAGACAGTTGTCTCAGTGGTTTCCAGAATCCCACCAGCTCCCATGTACCTTCTTGTATTGAGGCTCATGAGCGTATTCACACTCTTTCCACCCCTGCGCACGCCTCTGCTTGCTCTCGATCAGCACCCAGACCTCCATGGCACTAGCTTGCCTCTGTTGTGAACTTCTTTTGTAACCTACCAGGCCAGTGTATATACAGTGTTGTCAGGCTTTTCAGGATTTCAGTTTTGAAGCAGTTTATTCAAAGTGAGACAGAAGTGCCATGGAAAAGAGGCAGGCGTGTGTTAGGTGGCAGGTCCCTTAGACCTCTGCTGTGACATTGCATATTCAACTATTCTGACACTGGCTTCCTTTACAAATCTAGGAGATGCTGGATTAGAAAAGAGGAGAAGCTCATCAGGCCATCAGAGAGATGCTCCTGCAGGGTCCTGATGTTTGTGTCCCTCCAGGTCAGCTGGATTGGTGTTTTCCCAGTTCCCTTTCCTCATGCTTGCTTAGAGGAAGAAAGAAAGGAGGGTACCTTTTCCAAGTACCTTCTAAATGAAACACTCAAGACAGTGCTACTCAGGAAACATTGCTCGGGTAGCTTATTTTAGGACTGTTCTTGGGTGTGTAACCCTGGTGAAGTTATATCCTCCCCAAATTGAGGTGATAGAAGGAAGACAAGAGGTGTAGGCTGGAGAGGGGAGGGAAGAAATCAGTGGCTTTGGCCGGACTCTGTGCCACCCAGTATGACAGAGGAGTGGGAACTGGCCCTCTGGAACTCTGCTTTGCCATAGGCACTGCACATTGTGCCACTTGCTCATCACCTCCTCTAGTCTCTCACTGAGCATTGGAGTACCTGTTGTGCAGATGGGAAAACTGAGGAGCTCTGAGAGGCTGAGCATTGAGCTCGCCCCATGTCCTAGGGTGTGGGAAGAGGGCACAGGAGGCCTCATCCATTGAGGAAAGGACAGGATGGACATGGGTGGGGAGAGGGCATAGAGATCCCTTCCTAATCTCTGTTCCCACCACATTTCATAGGAGATGAGCTTAGGAGATGGCAACTAACTCTCTTAAGGACATTTTGACCCCAGTGTATGTTGGGGATGGACCAGAAAGTAAAATGTCTAGAGATAGGAAGGTAAGTCAGCTCTGCCAGCCCCTACCATCAGGTCTAGGCCACCCCAAACTTGGGCTGCCTCCCTTAGACGCAAGTTAGAGTGAGATACCCAGCCGTTTCTCCCGAAGCCTGGTCTTCATGCCCCAGACACCTCATTGCCCTAGTCAGGTGTCAGACTTGCTTGCTTTTCAAGGTCCACCTGAGCTGCCAAGTGTTTTCATTGTCAGAATACAAATGGACACATGGCCATGTTTCAGGGCTTCAACTGCATTGTATTGTGGACTTTGACAACATTTTTTTCCTCTTAACCTACTAAGACTCTTCCTTAAGAACGGGATCTCTAGCTTTAAAATGCCACCTTCTGTGGGAAATTTCCTGCCAAGCCAGGGCACTAAATACTTTCATCATTAGAGCTTTCCTGAAGTCTGGCCATATACTGAGCACCTGCTCTGAGTTCTGGGCAGCTCACACTATCTCAAACAGGTTTTCAGAAAAACAATGCAACTATATTTTCTAGCGCCAACTGTATGCAAACAGTGTGGCAAGTACCTTTTAATTAGTCCTCCACCCATCTGGAGTACAGGGGGTGAGTTTATTATTCTGATTTCACAGATGAGGAAATGGGCTCAGAGAGGTTAAGTCCCTTCCTGAAATCTCACAGCCAGGAGAAGCCAGGATGATTTAAAACAAAGTTTGGAGAGGCGCTGCGTGTAGACCGTGGCTGTACGGCCTCTAGCATGCGGCGCTGCATCTTGGCAGTCTCTATCCCTGTCTGTGATGTGCGCGTGCACATGTACCTACGTGGGTGCACACACACAGCTCTCACACATCTCAGAGCCTGAGAAGTAGGCCTAAGCCCAGAACTCCTAGAATCGCCTATAAATGCCAGGCATAGATGGAAATTACTGTGTTCCACCAAAAGCACAGCTCTAAACTCTACCTAAAAGATACTTCTGCGCTTTGCAGAGACCTGGACTTCAAACATTCCCAGTGGAGCCTGCTTATAGAACTTGAGGGTCCTGTCTCAGGGTGAAGGGGAGAGGCTCCGGCTTCACGGGAAGGTATTCCAGCATTGTTCTGCTTCACCCTTGACTGTGTTGTCTGGCAGTTTCTGTGTGCTGCCAGGAGAGTATATGGAATTGGAGAAGTTGGAGTCAGGTCTCTGACGCCAGAGTTTCACTAAGTAGATGCCTCTGTACCTAAGAACTATTCCTGTCTGCAGGTCCATATAGCTATGCTGCCAGGAAAAACACATTATTTTCCAAAACTTTCAGAGCATGTGCAGAACCCTTTCTTAGCATTTTCTTCTCTCAGCACTTTCTCTGCCTCCCAGAGGCTGGCAGCCAGTGGCACTGTGGAGTTCGGCATGTTCTAACCATGCACGCAGGGCAGGGCTGCCTTGGCCCCCCTCAGGCTTTGGCTGGGAGAGCAGGCAATGGGAGCCCTTCTGGGTGCAGTCCTCTGGGGTTGCTCTTTGGCACTCATGTATGAGTTTGACTCCACAAGGCTTGGCATGGATACCAAAACAGTTGCACCAAATTAGTTCTGAACCCGGAACACAGAATTCAGTGCTTCAGGAAGGAGGTGCTCAGAATGCCCCGTGCAGAGCAGCCAGTCATTCCTCTTGTTTGTTCTCACCTGGGTGTGCACTCTCATGATGCGGTGGCTGCAGCACCTTCATGCCAGGTGCTGAGAGAGTGGGAAATTCTTCCTCCCCACTGGCCTGAGTCCCAGAGACTTAGGGAAACAGACCTCAGGTGAGGCTGGGGACCTACGAAGCGGTGGATAATAGATTGGATAATCAGAGCTTTTGAGGCAGGGGGCTCATGTTTTCACTGCAGGGAGTTATGCTGAGCAAAGAGATGTGTTTTTCAAAACCAGAGTATTGCCCCGTGTCCACACTGGAGTAAGTGGAGCATGCTCCTCTGTGTTCCCTGAATGATCTTGCACTCCTTTTCAGCAAAGGAGTACCATGGCCATGGTCAGTGGGATCCCACAAATGTTCTTAAATGGGTAAGGTTTTAAGTAGCCAGAGAGTATCCAGCCTACCACTGGCTTCTCCACATCCTAAAACCTGAGACAGCCTTGGTATATGCTTTGTAAATGTTTCTTTTCTTGTTGTTTAAGTAATTAAAGTGTTTAAAATGTCTTCATTAGATGTGACGATTGTTTAATGAGTTTGCCTCTGACTTGTGGCTCCATGGGAGATAGGCAAAGTAATTAAGAAGTTACCAGAAATTGGTCGGCTGGGGAAATGCAAAAGTTAGCATTTCAGTAAGTGAATTTCTCCTGGAACAAACGAGCAATTTTTCCTCTTTCTCTTAAGTAGTATACCCTTTTCTCACTTAGTAATTTAATGGTATATAAAGACATGTGTATAAGTGAGTGCATACATATGAGGTATGACTATAGGGTTGTTTGTGGGAATTTCTTTTCTTAACATACAGAAGATCAAAGTGTTTCATCTCACCCCGCCCTCCTTAAAAGGTGTCTTTTGGGAGACTATGTGCTGATTGACTATAGTGCTGCCAAGTAAAAAGATCTTGGGAACTCTTCTACCAGAACGGCCTTCGGGGCTTGTAACGTTCCTTTGGTTTCCCCTTAGAGATGAGAAATCCTCCTCCTTTGAGGATGGATTTAAGTTCTGGAAATAATCTCAAGTACTTGATAGCACAGTTGGATGAATAAAGATGGCAATTAAGGTAAGTTACACCATTTTTGTCTCTAAAAAAAATCCCTAAGAATTTTCTTGGAATGAGTTTTTAGACTCAGAGCCTCTCAAAGTGTCCGCTTCAAGGGAGGACCGTCCTCATTAGCACACCGATTTTAAAAATCAATTCTCTGGCCATGCCTCCTATGTGTTCACATCTCTGCATACACTACAGACGTAAGTGCATAATCATTCATATAAACATCTGGTAGGTATTCTGTAAAACTGTGTTTACTTTAGTGCATGTTATTGTCATGTTACGATGTGACTGGGGTGTTTCTTTGTCATGAAACTTTGCTTCTTCACAGAATTAGAATACTGCTCCCTCTATATTGAAGTACATATACAGCATTTTCTTATATCAGCTCCCAAAGTCTGGATGCCCGGTGTTGTGTTTACATGTGATTGTGCCTAGGAGTCTGTTCACATAGAGACACCTGTAAGTATTTATTACAAAACGGAATGTAAGCAAATATATCCACATTGGTTTTATTTGAATCAAAGTTTTGTTTTGTTTTGTTTTGTTCCTTTTGAGGAGGAACAGGGAGCCTCCTCCTCCATGAGCACTTACAGAATTGTGTAAAATTCTGTGAAACAAGGGCGAGCGTGGGCACCGGTTTCAGCCGTCCCAGTGCCGCTGCCCTCCCACCTACTCTGTGTGTGTGTGTGTCGCTGTGCTTGGTGGCAGTGTGCCGTGCTCGTGCCGGGCTCTTCCCAGCAGACGCTGGTATCCGGCTGTAACGTTTGGCATCTTCGTTTTGCCAGTCTGTGTTAAGGGGTGGTGTACGTGGCCGTACAGCCAGATGGGTCTGTGTACCAGTGTGGGGAGTCCAAGAACACTGCCTGTCCCCCACAGCAAATATTGATGCTGTTGGTCAGCCAAAGATTTTCCTCTTCTTTGCTGCTTAAACTTGTGCCTTAATATTGTACATAATAAATGGATGAAATGGCAAAACGGCTCTTCCCTCTCGCTTGCTCTTTTCTTCCTTAAAGAACTTATAAACTGGTGCTCAATAAATGTTTCATTTCGTTGTAATCCACTTAGTGTTTTGCTTCAGAGGCCCTCGGCTCCCCGCTTGTGGGCCTCACGCTGACACCAACACGCAGCTCTTGACTCAAGAGGAAATGAATCATCCAGACCACCGCGGCTTGCAGGCCGCCCACTCCCGGCTCCTCCAGACAAATAAGGAGAAAGGAAATGCAGGGTGACTGTGGGCCTGGCTGTCCACTTTGATCACATGTGAGTGTCCACTTTTGGGGTTCCTCAATTCAGAGCCTGCAAATGATCACTGTAAACTGGCTCTGTCTCAGGAATTCACCCAGGCAGCCTGGAGTCAGCCATGCCTCTGAGCCCGAGGATGGAAATGGGAGATGGGAGCTGTTATGTTAGCGTCTTGGGGTCACAGGAGAAAAAAGCGGGACTTTGGTGGAAAGGAGTCACATGGTAAGTGGGTGAAATTCAGGCCAGGAGCCTCGGGGACTGAAGCAGAACAGAGTAAGACTCATGAGAATATCCACATGAAGGCCCCTCCCCGGGATCACTGTGTTTAAGAGAGGGTGGTGCCTGCTGTTTATTCTGTGGTCATGCCTTTTCAGTGGAAGCTTCTCTCCTCCTCACCCACCCCCAGCCCTGGCATAGGAAAAGCTTCCTTGATGTGAGCTCTGGGGGAGCATGAAAGACGCATCTCTAGCCCCCCAATAATCATCGGTGTGATTTATATGCATTATCTTCTTCAGTCACACAACAACCTCGTCATCATCCCCACTTTAAACCCCAGGAGACTGAAACTCAAACAACCTTAGGAAAGTAATGTGCAAAAGATGGCAGGGCGGGGATTTGAACCCAGGTCTACCTGATGCAGAGCCAAGGCACTTGCACGTGCAAGGTGGGTGGATGCTGGGAGGCAGAACAGCTCATGCTCCTGTCTGCCTGGCTTCTTGTCTGTCCTGCCTGTACCCCGAGGAATCCTCTGCAGGGAGCGCCATCTCTGTGCGTGCAAATATGACTCAGTTCATGTAAAGATGCACCCTGGCAGCTCCCCAGCCTCCACCTGTCAGGATGACTCTGGGAAGACAGCTGGAGGACTGCATTTGTGTTTAGGGTTTATAGGACCTGACTTGTCACCTCCCCACGCTGATCCCACGTGTGTACATCATGCGAGCCACCCCCTGAGCTCCGACCTTTCTCTTGGCCCCTTGTACACCCCAGGAGAGAAGTTCCCAATCCCAGCAGTTCTGTGTAGTCATTCCCAGTGGTACACGTCTGTGCCCTGAAGGAACACTGGCCTCCATTCTGCCTGTTGGGCTGGAGCCTCAGGAACCGCAAGAGATAGCGATGTGTTTTAAGTTGCCCAGGCTCATGGTGATAAGGAATTAGGTCACAAACGGGAAATAAACCAGAAGCAGCGAAATTCCTTTCTTAAAGCTCTGTGTTGTCAAAATAAAAGAAGCTTTCTGTCATTAAAGAATGTCGTTATGGTTTACTGTTTCTGTTGCCTTTTTATCAAGCGTGACAGTGTGTCTTTGATGTGCTTCCTTTATCTGCCTCTGTTCCTGGCAGGCAGACATCCCAAGACCATTCCAAGTGAGCCAGGACTCCCTCACTTGGTGAGTCTATCATCTTCAAAGTTCCTCCCTTTTTAGAATATTAGGAGATATATAGGTGATTTTTAAAATTGAACTTGGAGTTTATGGGAACCTGGGAAGCCCTCCGTATCTGATGTGGAGTTCCATCAAAGGGTGACTCTTCCCAAGTTTTTGGAGACTCATAATATGTATACAGATAATATAAGGATCATAGACTACATCGTTGAGTGCTTTGAAGCACAGTAATATGAATTATAGTCCTATTGTTAGAAACTAACAATGCCTAACTTTGTGTCCTGATGGGTTTTGCCTCTAAATCTGCAAGGGAGGCAGGATCTAAGTTTTATTGAATTGGCTTTGGAATAATATTTCATCTTAAGAACCCCAGAGGTAGCTATTATGGGACATTATTACCCCTGCATGTCAAATGAGGAAAGAGACTCAAGAGAAGTGAAGTGTGCACTTGGGCTCTGCAGTAGAAGCCTGGCCTGCTCATTTCTAAAGCCTTTGCTCTCTCTCTGCACTGAATTGTTGCCTTTGACTTTAGTTGTGTGTGTGTGTGTGTTGATGGTTTGTTTGCTTGCATTTGTTTTTAATCGCTCTAAAGAGAATTAGTAAGCAGATGGCTAATTGAAAAAAACATTGAGGCCCTTTTTGGAAATGCAACTTTTTTTTTTTCAGCCAAAGTCATATACTGGACAGACAGGCAGGATCAGTGGCTCTGGTCTGTGAGATGTATACTTAATTTTTACCTGCTAGACTTTGTTTATTAACATTCACCTGGTAGGCAGCATGGTGGAGAAGGGACCAACAGGCAGAAGCTGTGTCAGGTCCACACAGGGGCTGGGGACCTGCCCTTGGTTCTCCCCAAGTACACTGAAGCCACAGAGCTTGTGGTCCAGGAATGCTGACTGTAAAATGGAAGTGTCTGTCAGTCTAAAGAAATTCTTAATTGTACCTGACAGGCATCTATGCCTGGTTTCCCAATCACCTGAACCTTGGTGCCTTCCCTTCCATATTCATGGCTCTGCTTCTGCCCCATCTACTCAGTCATCTCTGCTAGGGTCCCCAGTCACCTTGGGCTCCTCCCCTACTCTCTCCTTTAGCTGGTCGGTCACCTGTTCCTGCCCACTCCACCCTCCCACGTTGCTTCTGTACTTTTATTTTCTCCATCCCCATGGCCTTAGTTCAAGACTTCATCTCTCACATGGACAATTACAGTAACCTTCTGCCTACTGTCTCATCCTACTCTACTCTTGACAAGTACACCAGAAAAGCAAGAGTAATAGTGACGTTTATTCATTGTTATTATGCACCCAACCTCCTGTGAACCTTTCCTGTGTTAGCACATTGAATTCTTACAGTCACTGTTATAGCTCCATTGTACTGATGGATAGAAACTAAGAAGTAGGGAATTTAAGCTTCTTGCTCAAAGTCCTAGAGCTTGTGAGTGGCAAGGCTGGGATCCAAGCCCAGATAGACGGACTCCAGAGCCTCTAGACCACACTGTTCTTCCCCAACCCGAGTTTCTAGAGGCATGTCTGATAATGTCACTCTTTTGAGGGAAATTGCCACAGCACTATTAGCCCCCTGTGGCCTTCAGGATAAAGCTGTGGCATTCATGCCCTGCACAATCTGACCCCAGCCCACTTCTCTGACTAGTTTCTCTCCACTTCCCTTTCTACCCCTACCTTCAAGTTGCTCTAGGAACCACACTGTGTCCATAATCTGCTTTGTTTCCATTTCTGCACCTATCCATGGGGTCCCTGGGATTGGGATGCCCTCTTGTCTGTCCAAAGCTAACTCATTCTTCCAGGTGAGGCTCAAATGTCACTTTTCTCAGGAAGGTATTTCCAGTCACCAGGGTCAAAATTAATTGCTCCTCTTCCCTTATTAGCTGAGTCACCTGGAGAAAGTTGTTGAACTTCTGTAAACTTCTTCCTTGAAAGATGTCATGGAGCAAGTACCATGTCTGTTTTTTCATTAATGTGAATCAGGCACCTAATGCAGTTCCTGGCACACCACAGGTGCTTGAGTGTTGACTGAATGAGTCAAGGATTTAATGAGAGAAGAGTTGTAACGTATCTAAAATGACAGTGCCGTGCATCACAGCATCATCCAGCCCTTGCCCCAAGCCATCTCCTATTATAGTGAACTACATACACAAGTGTCTGTCAGCTCATCTGTCTGGGGTAGGAACCCTGACTTGTACCTAGAGTAGATGCTCATTAAAAGTTAAACTGACTGTGAATTCTCCCAAGCTTCTTATTGCATATATGTTCATTGACTGTTGTCAGGGAAACTGGAAGTAGAGCTCCTTAAGTAAAATTTTATTTAAAAATTACTGTGCAAGTAATACATATTTGTTTTTAAAAACAGTCAAATGAGAATACAGAGGAGAATACAAAGTAGAAGCCACTGCCTCCTCTAAATTGCTGCACGTAGCCATTAATTCTGTTAAGTTTGGAGGATTTCCTTCTAGGCTCCTCTACAGATACGTACAACCAAATAGATAGATATGAGTGAATGAATATAAGACCATGCTACTCATACAACTTGTTTTTTTCATTCAACAATAGGTCATAGGCAGGTTTCCCAGGCAGCATGTGTAGATCTCTCATTGTGGTTTATGGTGGTATGTGTTCCTTTGTGTGGAGGAAGGGGAGCTTACTGAAACCCGAGGGTGCTCCTGCACTGCCACCCAGCTCCTCACAGCATTTCCCCAGCAATAAAGGAGAGCTAAGAGCATGGGGAAGCTGGGGAGATGTTTTCTGTCCTAAGAAAGAGGCCAAAACTTGCAATATATAAGCCAGGCCTGGCCAAATGCTGGCCCTCAGTTCCTCCAGCGCATCAAAATGTTTCCATTCGCTTGTCCAGGCACTAAAAAAATTGATGATTTTTATGATGACATTGGGATCCCAAGGACTCAACAGCACCATGGCCCCAGCTGATGGCTCAGCCCAGTCTGGCCTGGAATGCCCTGTTTCCATCCAGAAATCCTTTGTCAGCTCTCTGAGGGGCTGATTTTCCATCCAGTGCCCTACCCTTTGGCCTAGAGAACACATTTTGCTGGCATAATTCTACTCAGCCCTAGTCCTGTCTGACTTTGTTCAGTGAGTTGATGACATTGATCTTTCCCTTGTCCCTGGCACTTTCATTTTGCAGAGCATCTATCAGTTTTACAAATATTTAGCTTTAGGAATAGCCTGTAAAAAGAAGCCCAGTTTATGATTCACTCATCAGGTTACTACTGAAAATTAGTTATGTGCCCAGCATGCTTCAGATCTTGGGGGGAAGCCAGATAATACAGAATGCCATGGCGATCCTGCCCTGAAGGTAGAGGAGGGGCAGGGAAGTGTACTGATTTCCTATGGTGCGCCAAGCATTTTATGTCAACCGTGGCATTTGGTCCTCACAACAGCAAGGACAGTGAGATTCAGAGAGGCTAAG